TAATTTTATTTCTGTATCTACTACCCAAAAACTGTAGACTTTTCATTTAAAAATGTTTTGACTCAGTATTTGGTGGACACAGAGACTGAGTGCAAACACAAACTCTTCGCAGCAGATCCTGTGGCTTCAGTTGTGTTTATCTGCAGGAGCATCTGTGTTTTGATATTTTATTCCAGTGACCTGTTTTTATGGAATACTTGTGGTTGTAATTATTTTTCTCTGGTGAGATATGAGAATTATGTTGAAAAGAAATGGTTATTTCTTAAAATCCTTTGATGTATTGTGAAATGAGGTGAAAACAGGCTTTTTTTGCTAATCTGTCTTTTTATTTACTATTTTCTTTGACTTTCCTAAACTTACCACGTTTTTACTCTATTAGGTGTTTGTTTGCTTGTGGAAAGGTTGCAAAGTATATAATACACCTTCAACAAGTCAAAGCTGGTTGCAGAGGCATATGCTGACACACAGTGGGGACAAACCTTTCAAGGTAAGGTTCACTGTGAGACACAACATCTCTTGTTTTAAGAGAAATTCCATTTAATTTTCCTGATGCAATATGTCATTGAAAAATACCATCACAGGAGGATTTCTTAAAAAGCATCCAATGAGCTGAGCCTTCATCTTTGCAATAGTAGTGCCCAAAGGTCTCGTTCTTTCCTGGAAACAGGTGTAGATGCTGTTATTGCTTCTCTGTCCCTGTTTCTTTTAATCTATAAATGGCAGGGGAGTGTAAAACTAAATAGTGCTTAAGTTCAGGGGGTTTGTGCATTTTTCAGTTGAGCTGCTTACACTCTGAGATGTTTTGTATCATACTTTACACTTCCACGTTAAACTTTGGATCATGGCTGATGGTGCCCATTCTGTGTTTGAGTAAGAGCTGGTTTTGTGAAATTCAGTTGAAATGCTGACAGTGATTATTTATGGTGAACTTCTCTGAAAATAGTAAGGAAGTCAGGAATGCAGGGCCGTTGAGCTGACTGTATTTCCTGCATAGTATTTTCTAACTTTCTCTTTCTTTCTCCCCCTAACCTGTACCTGCAATTCTAGGTATAGTAGTGTTTCTCATTCCCATATCCACCAATCCGTTATTAATGAGTTGCTTCATCCTCTTATGGATACAGTTGGGGCAGTTCATAGCTGTCAATCCTGGATCACTTGATGGTAAGTCCCACCCACACTACTTCAGACTGAAGTTCTCCTTCCATGTAGGATATGAAAATGAACTAGGTTTGTTTTTTTTAAGTTTAGATAGCATTTTTTTGCCTTCTTCTCCCCCACCCCCAGTCCATGAACTTTTAGTCGTTGTTTCTCCACTTCCTTTCCTCTCTTTTCTCTCAGGTAATATCTTCTGAGTTTTTTAAGATTCTATTTTAAGGCAGCTTTATTACTAAAAATACTTTTCTGTTACAGTGGTGTCTTCCAGAAGTTACTTGTTCTATATAGCTTTTAACGGTAGTTATGACAGAAAACAAAACTAAGCTCAAAACCTAGAAAGTGAAAATAGTGCATTTCATTGCACATGAAAAAGGTTTTCTTTTAACAAAGGTCAGACTTTTTTCCATGCTGAACTACGTAGCTGAGTCTGAAAATTTCTGACCCGGAGAGTGAATAACAATAGGAAAATTGGTTTTGAGGTGGTTATACCCTTTGTTCAAAGGAGTGAGATTAGCATGCTCTTGGAAGCATAGCACAAGGATCTTAGACCCCTGAAAGTTTGCAGATATGGCTGTTACAGGAACTAATCTTAAGTGCTAATCTTGGAATAAAAAAAAAGAAAAAGCAACTGCCAGTTACCAGGGGAAGCCTCAGGTTTTCTCATTTTTGGGATTAAATATTTTAGATATCTTAAAGTGTAATGGCAAGCTTTGGTCTTGAATGAAAGTCTTTTGATAGGTTAATTTGTATTGTTATTTGGTCTAGATCAAAGAAACTCAATTTTAAAGATGTTGGGTTGAAGAAGTGGGCGTAGCTCAGAAACACCAGGAGTACTTTTTCTGTCAAGGTTACCTGGCAAAGTTGGCATCCTAGTTTTTGGGTAGGCTGGTTGCAGCTAGAGCCCTAAAATTTACAGTAATTACTTCTAATAATATCTGTTGTTTCACCAGCTGATTTTCTGTGCTTTCTGGTCATAGTAAGGGAGAGAACAGAACAGGATTGCAGCAGTTAATCATCGTGGCTCAGTGTGTGTCACTTCAGCGGTTTTTTCCCTACTGTTGTCTTGAGTCCCTCTTTTTATCCCTGTATTTCTCAATCTGTTCCTGGGAGCTTTGAATGGAGGATAATTGTGGTCTCAGTAGAATTTTGTAACATCTTTTGTTCCCCTGTCACTTATGCTGAGTACAGGCTTCAGGGCTCACATGAGGTAGCCAAGTACGTAAGTGTCTGTGATGGCAACCTATTAATTAACAAGCCCCCTTTCCTCACTTGCTTCTTTCTTTTACTATCTTTTGAAATCTACTCTCTGATACAAAAAAACACTCAAAGTGTTGGATATTAATCTTGATCAGTCCAAGAACAGCCTTTATTAATTGTTTTGTGGCAGTCAATCAAAAATGGAGCAAATGTTTCCGTTTGCATTTAGCTGTTCTCACAAGTCTTAGTTGCTCACCTTTTTAGGTGAAGCCAAATTTTTTCAAGTAATAGTTGCTTTAAGGACCTCTTGTTCTTGATGATTATTGCAGACAAAATATCTCCCAAAACCTAAATTGCAAATGAAACTTCAGTTGCCTCATTAGAATATACTTGAGTCCTGGCATAAAAAAGAAAGTAATTTGTCATTTTAGAAAACTTGGAGAAAATACCTAGTTGTTCAGTGTTTGGTTTAAAAAAATAAATAAATGGATGTTGGGATTTTTGAGGAAAGCTGTAAAAGGCAGTGATGGTGATAGTACAGTTCGATGGTGTTGTCTGAAGACCTGATGTTCAGGATGTTTTAAAGAAAAGCAAAGAATATTAGCTAGGAAAGTAACAACTAAAAGCATGGAAAATTTAATTTTGTAAAGGTAAAAGTACGCTATAATCATGTAATGACCAGAAGAGAATAATAAATATATGACAGGTTGATATATTCTTATATTTCTAATGAAAATAAGAGACAAAAGTCTTTTCTTAAGATGAAAAGCAGTTGGGGACTGTCTGAGACATAACACTCTCCTTGGCAGTAGAACTAATCTGTTGAAAGATATATCCCTGTACTGTCACTCTTTTGCTTGCAAGTGGACTCATTTTGTGTAGTTGCACATTTTGGGCTTAATTATCTAATTTTGTTGTCCTTTGACTCCATTCAGCTGTAAACCAGCTGCAGTGCTTCCATCTTAAAATGCCCTTGTGGCTTTACATGCCCTTGCCAGACATTCCTATAAACCTGGTGACTGTGTAGTTCATTTGTCACAGAAATAAACCCACTTCTAAATTGCAAAGGCAAAAGGTTTCATATTTTCCTAAATTTATCCTGTTTTTTTCTGTTTCTGTGGTTTAGTGTATCCCCCTCAGCATCAGTTTTCCAGGTACCTATGTCACAGAAAAGGTAAAATTTGAGACCTTTGTTATTCTAGCTCCATTTTTATGTAGAGCAATATCCTAGTAGTGTATGTCCAGCTCATCTCTGAGTCATCTGCTGAACTAAAGGGAAAAGAAAATAAAGGTACCCTGGATCTTTAGGCAGAATTTAGGACCTCATGTCCCCTTTAGTTGCCATATTGCTTTTCTGTTTGTTCCCTCCGATTTTTTTCTAAGTTTTTAATGCTGATGGTCTTGGGTTTCATGTAGAACAAGTGGATGGGCTTTTTGCCTATTTTTTTAAGACCATCATCACTAAGTTTTGTTACTGATAAAGTTCTTTTCCTGGAGCACCCATCAGTCCTTCCACCAAAGAAAAAGTGTCCATTAAATGAGGCTTAGCATTGCAGTTAGCTCTCAGGATGTAGTCAGATGTGATTTCTGCAAAGCATGTGCTTTTTAATCCTAATTTTGTTAAGAACCACTTCCTAGATTTGTTTTTCTTGACAAGAGCAACAAACAAGCAAACTCATCTCACAGAATGTGTTTCTGATTGAGAATTTACCAGCTTTCTTTGGGCCACTGTTAAGTATTTTTGAAGTTATGCTGCTCCTCTAAATACCTGAACTTCATTGGTCTTGTACTGCAAGAAATTTTCTCTTTGCTTACTACAGTGTGATTTTAGCCAGCTTTTTTCTTTTTTTTTTTTTCTTTTTTTTTTTAATATTTTTTTTGTCATTGTAGACATTAATTTAATGTGAGTATTCCCTCCAGAGACCTCCAGTATGTTCATTTTTGTTTATGGTTTTACAAGCAGAGTTGAGAGAGAAAAACCTCAACATTATTCTTTTTTGGACTTCTTATTACATAATATTTTGCAGCTTTTTAGAAGCTGGTGGAATGTTGTGGAGTATCATCAGCATGTGGTCCTGTTGAGGGTTCAGCAATTTGACTTTCAGGCTTTCAGACCATGTAGACAGGTGGATTTACAGGAATAATCTGAGTTGGAAAACTGATGCCAGTGACTGGCAAATAGAGAAACAGTGAATGAAGAAATTTTCTCTTACTTGTCCTAAATTTGACTGTTACAAATAATAAGTATTTGAATAGTTAAGGAGTTGTGACAACCTGCATTTTCCAGCATGGTTTTTGGGACTCAGGGGGAAAAATACTTTATGGAAGTATTACTCAGCATTGAAAGTTACTTCAAGACACATCAAATAAACCCTTAAAACATAGCCTAGGTGACCAAATGCAAGGTGTTAGGCACAGTGAAAGGACAAATGGGAGGTGAGCACAAAACAGTGGAGATTTTATGCAAAATAATTACATATTGGTTAGCATTATGGTTGGACTTGATGACCTTAAGGGTCTTTCCCAACCTGAATGTGTTTGTGATTCTGTAAGGCTGCATGTGGGTAAGCTGCCAGCTGCTTTCACATGTGGATTCCAGTGGATATGCTCTCTCTTCATGTTTAAGAGCAGTCATGCAAGGTTTGCTCACGTGGGGTAATTGCTTTCAGTGACATTGAATGGCAGAGCACAGGTCCATTGGAGGCTCTCATCCTTTGCTTAAAAGGGGGGAAGAAAGTAATAATAAAAATGAAGTTTGGTGCTCATTCTGCCACCTGTAACTTCTGGAATTCATTAAGGGGTGACTGTGTTTGATATGACTTAATAGAGCAGCAGTTGTTGAAATGTAGAAAACACAGCCAAGCATCTTCAGTCCTCATTGGAAATTCATGTCTGTTACTCTCTTGGCAGAATATCTTCCATCCATTAGAGCACTGCAGATGCAGATATAAAATGTAAAGGCATTTTGCCTGAACACTCAGATGTTGAGACAATAAGAGTTTATCCCGATGTCTAAACTATTGCTGTTAGATTTACTAGAAAAATTACACATTGAATAGTCCAAGTAGGAGATTCGGTTATTTTGAATTTAGAACAAAATCCTGTATTGCTAGACTTTTTTACATCCTGTTTGTTAAAGTCACTGGTCATTACTGCCCATTAATAATGGTGGGTATGGGTACACTGGAGAAATTAAACTTCTTATGTGTTTACTTATTTTCTCTTGAAGTAACATATCCACCAATCCGGACCCAATCTGTCGTATTTCAAATCGACTGTGAAATTTTGAAATTTAGGTTTTGGGGGAAAAATGAAAAGATTTGGTTTAAAGTTGTGCATAATAGTTGAGTTTGATTTATTAGAAGCCCTCTAGAGCTGTATAATTATCTGGTGGGAAGCTGATTTGGTGTGACTTACCGTCCAGAGATCCTGAAGTGACAGCCTGAACTGCTCCTTTATCTTTGGAGAGAAGAGACTTTACCCATTAGTAACGGATTGCTGGATATATTATTTTAGAGAAAAAAAAGAAAAAAGCAGGTAAGATTTTTTTTTTCCCTCCTCTTCTACTATTTCCTGTCTACTGCAAAGGCATTCTGTGTCATCTTTGATCTGTCAGCTGTTGATTATTTGATGACATGGTCAGGTAGTCTCAAAGTACGCAGTGTCTGTATGTAATCATTTCTGCAAATATTTGTCTTGTAGTTGTAGACTATTAATAGGCTGTCTGGAAAAAGATAATTTCTAGTTGCAAGTTGCAGATATTGAGGATTTAAGGATGTTGGTTTGGGTATTTTGGAAGTAAAATTTGGTAGAGCAAGAAAAGTAAGTGGTAGCTTCTGTAGATAACCCATGTAGAATATCTGTGATTATTTTCTTTGTACGTGACTAGAAAGAAGGCAAGTTATGGTATCATGACTCAAACTTCAGTTTGTCATAAAACAATGTTTCCCATCTGACAAGAAGTTCAGTTGTGTTTTAAAAAGTTTTAGAAATGGGCCTGACACAAAGTTTGTGCTTTTTTCCAGAAGGTACTACCTTTAGATACTGTACTTTAATAAGCATGGAGTATAGTAATGCATGCACTGTACCAAGACTTTAGGTTATTTTTGACCTCTAGCAGGCATTGGTAAAGCTGATATTTTAATATCTCAGTGTGACTGAACTTCAGGGTATGGGGTTTTTTTGACCCAAGTTTTCTTTTTTTCTGAAAACGTTTGTATGATCAGAAAGAGCTGGAATCTGAAGGCAGGAGCACATCAGTGAAAGTTAATCCTAAATTTAGATTTAGTGGCTGAGTTTAGTTTCATGAAGCTGCTTTTATGGGCAAAACAGCTATTTCAGGGACATAAAAACTAGAGAACAAAAGATTTCTTGAACTAATGCACACATACATTTTACAGGTATCTGTTAATTGTGAGTTCAGTCACCTTTAATACAACTGAGTGGTTCAGGTTCAAGGCCAGGTTGGATGGAGTTTAGCAACCAAATCCTAGTAGATGATGTCCTTACCCACAGTAGAGGGGTTGGGTCCCTTCCAACCCAAACCATCCTATGATTCTATAAGTGTAAATTTAAATCTTCAGCATTAATTTTGAAGTGATGAAAATTGTGTTGAGGTTACTGTAGTGTAAATGAGATCAGGCTCCAGAGTGTTCTGAATTTCACAGATGTGCTGGGATTTCTTACATTGTAAGTCACTACAATATAAGTAGACAATATTAGTGTTGTTTGAACATGGGAAAATATAGGGCAAGGTAAAAAGGTATAGAAAACTTTCCCTCTAAGTATTTTTCCCTTTAAAATAAAAAAGTCCTTTACTGTCTTGCAATCTATGTTCATATTTTTAGTCCTGTAGCAAGTATTAAGTTTTTGGGGACAGCACAGTTCTTTCTTTTCATGGATACTGTGTTTTATGATTATCATGGAGAACCATTTTCTAGGTTGAGGCAGAAATAGACTTTTAAATTCTGCAGCCAGAATTTTGTTGGAAACCAACACAGTGGGGTTTTAGGGACAAAAAATGGGACATGTGGAGTTTTACAGCCGTTTTCTTGTCTCTCAATCAAATGTGCAGGACTGGGACAGGTTACTGTGATCTTGCAGATTCGTCCTTAGTCTTCAGAGATGACTTAGCACTATGTATGTTCATATTTGCAGCATAACTTATTCCCAAATTCCTGTTGGAGCTGCCTCATCAGTTTGCTGTGCAGGGAAGTGCTAGAGAAGGGACACACAGGTGAAAGAGCTGAGAAAGAAGGGAAGGGAGGGGAGGAGCAGAACAGATGTGGAAGGAGGAGAATTTTCCAATGGTTTAGAGTGGTGATAGGTTTTTTGCTAGTGGATGATCAAGTCATTTGCCCCACTGCTGTTGTTTGGATCAGAAGGAAAATCAGTCATATGGATACACAATTAATGGCAGCCAGTGATGGAATGTGTATCTTAATATCACTTTGCTATTACCCTTGTAAGCTCAGAGCACAAGAAAAAAAGGTTTGTCCCTCCCTCTCCAACGGTATAATTTGAATACTTATTTTGCAAATGAAATAATTGTAAATATAAACTAAATCCTTACAAAAATACCATTAATTATTGTAGCCAGTACTAGCTTAGTTGCAGCTATCTTGTAGTTTCTGTGCTTTTGCTTAATTATTGGTGGATCTTTCCTTATTTTTCTGTTTGAGAAAGAGAGGACATTCTCTTTAAATAAGAACTTTCTTAAATGCTTCTGAAGTAATAGTAGAATCCCAAAATAAATTTATAAATAATTGTTAGTACTGCTTTAAATCTCTGAAGTTTAAGTTTTAGACAGAAGTGTAAGCCAGCTGTTCATTGACTTTGTGTAGCATTTACAAAGAGCATTGAGCTGTTTCCAATTTAATGTGGGTAGGGATGTTTTTTTTTTACTTCTGCCTTGTCACAAGAAAGGAGGATGTTCAAATGCAGAAAATTGGAGAGGTGTTGAGAAACAGAATAACAGTGCAGTATTTTAAAAGATAAGGGAATGCTGGCTTATGAAAAGCAAAGGTCTTCAGAAGCATTTATTTTCTGTACAAAGAGTTTGCCAGTGCATTGTTTGAGATTGGCTTTATGCTATACAGTATTTCAGAATATGATTATAGCATGGAAAAATATGCCATGGAATAATTACTGGGAGTTAAAAACTTCAAACAAATTTGCTTCAGAATATGTTTGTTTTTTGTTTTTAAGAATTGCATGGTCAGTAAGAATTTATCTTCCCTTTAATGTGTTGGAAGTTGAGCCAGAAAAGTCAAAGAGAGATCTGTCAAACTCCTGTGCACAAGCACCTGACGCAGTTTTCTGGGTTTTTTTTCTCACTAGTGTGTAGTTGGTGGGTGCAATGCCAGCTTTGCATCTCAGGGAGGACTTGCCCGTCATGTGCCCACACACTTCAGCCAGCAGAACTCTTCAAAAGTTGCCAGCCAGCCAAAGGCCAAAGAGGAATCTCCATCTAAAGCTGGAATGAATAAAAGAAGGAAATTAAAGAACAAGAGACGACGATCACTACGTAAGTATTTTGCAGAAGTTCTTGGAAGTTTCGTCTGGGATTGGAAGTTCCTCTCCAGTGTGGTGTTTTCTCTGCATATGTGGATCTGGTAGGATTGGCATTCCTTGTGGTGAGAAGAAAACAGTTCCAGATTCTGTTTGTGTTCCTTTTCAGGGTAAATATCTTCACGTTCAGGAGAAAAGATCGGTTTCCTGTGAGAAACAGTTGGAGTTCACAGTTGAAAAAGCTTTTCATTTCAGAGTCACTCTCTGTTTACTGACTATTACTGTTGGAAAATGTTCTGTTTAGTGTTGATGAGATCTGAAGTTCAGTATTGCAGGCAGAGATTGCAGATTCATATAAATTAGAGATAAATGCATGTTATATAAGCTCTTTTTTGAGCACAACATTTCATTATGTTAATGACAGTTTTATGAGCATAACCAAGATCTAATTTTGGGCAGAATTGACTTGCTATGTTTTTTTAATCTGTCTCCACACAGTTGATATTCATTAATTTTATATGAACCAATGTGCTGAGAGGTGTAATTTGTCATTTAAAGTGAGAACTGTTACCTATAGCAAGTAGTAATCACTTAGCCAGTACCTTTTCTAGTCCATTTAGATCTAGATGTTTGATTCCTGAGTTGTCCTAGTATTAGACTAATAACAATGTCACATTTATATAGAGGTTCTAATGTATAAGAATGGTTAGGAAAGACTAGGCAATTGTTAAAATATTTCACTTTGTTCTATAATTGCTTTGGATGCAACTCTCCAGTACCAAACTGATTTTGAACTGTTACTATGACACCTGCATCTTAGAGATGTAAAAAACATTTAGATTTTTTTTCTGCTGGTATGTCAACAGCTGAAGAAGAAACTTTTTATTTGTGGTGCAAAGTCCATCTTACAGTATTGGAGAGTAGCACAAGATACCTTTTTTATGCACCTGTTAAGTCTCGTACTGTCCACAGTGTTACTTTGCCAGAACTTTTCTGTGGCAGAACACTTAACTGTATTCATCTTTCTCTTCCTGTGAAGAAACACAGTTACCAGTTATTCAAGTGGTACTGCAACAATGGATGCACATACTAGTGGTCTTAAGTGATACTCTTTATCACATGATTGGGATTTATTCTTATCTTAATACCTCACCTGTGTCTTAAGGAACTGAAACTTATGAAGCAGTGCTCATGTTTCTGCCTTGAATGCAGAGGAAGCCTGTCCTGGAAAGTTAGTGTCACCTAGAGTTCTGAAAAGTTTATTTCCTGAGTCACTGTTAACTTCTCTTTTGAATTTCTTTTTTTTTTTGAAGGGGGAATACTTGGGTATTCTTAAAATATATATGAGCAAATTGGATTGTGAAACACATCTCAGAAGCACAGCCTTCAAGAATTCCTCTAATTTTGATTTAACAACCAAAGAAATTAGCAAACTGTTTCTGTTCTTTTCAGAATCTGTTTTTAAAAGGCTTTCCCTTTCACTCTAACAATCTGTGTAAATGACAAGGTTCAAGAAGGGAAGGCTGGTCAGTGAAGGGTTATGGGCTCACTTTTTACATCTTAGATATAATGAGAGAGACATCTACTTGGGACAGTTGCAGGTTCCTAAAGGAATATTGTGATTTGTTGACTGTGTTACTCAAATCAAATATACATGTCTAAGACTGGTCACTTCAAAATTTTCACTTTTAGAGGTTCCTGAGTTGCATCTAGGCTTGTTTCTCTGTATTGATTTTGTTAGGTGACTGATTTAAAGCATCTTAATTCTATTTCCCCCCCCCAATATATGCAGAAGTAGTTTTTCAGGTTGGCATTTTATTAGTACTTGATGAACATTATTGACTTACAGGTTTCAAATTGGAGCTTTGTAATTAAAGCTTCAAATTACCTGCTAAGCTGCTGTAGTTGTAATAAGAACTTACTGCAGAATTCTTGAATGAATCTGTGGCAAAAAATGGAAGTAGTGAATATTAGTAGGGATTGTTAAAGACTGGACTGTAGTATTTGAATGATCTGCTTTCTCGATCAAGTGTTGCACAGGAAGAAAAATGACAGCTGCTTGAGCAATTTCTTGTCTTCCTGCCTCTGGAGACAAATGCAATGCTGGCTGTAGACTTTTGCCTTAAGGCAGAAATCATCTCTAACTCAGTTGGGAACTGACTGCTGTAATGTATTTCTCCAGAGGGTATGTGACCCAGAAATGTATCCAAAGTTGATGGCATTTTCTGAAAATGCAAAGTATTGGCAGCTTTTCTTTAAAACTTCGTGTGGATTATTGTTGGTGAGGTGGATGAGACAAAGGGCTGATGAAGTTTTGCTCGTCCTTTTGTTTCTTAGTTTTAGTTCAAGAATGAAGTGTGCAGGTTTGTGTGTTCTGTCTCTACAAGAAGAATGAGGGAAAGCAGACACCCTTATCTAAGAAGTCAAAGTAACACAATAACAGCATTGAGTATTTTCAGTCTAAAGTATATTTAGATATTTTTAAGTGCCTAAAAGCAGAGGTGTTTAATGTAAGTACAGGTTCTCTGCAGGTTGGATTACAAGAAGTTAATGCCAGGAGTGTAAAACAAGATGCCATTTGATAGTGCACAGTCTTTTACAATCACTTGGAGATAATAATTTGAGAGAAAATTGCAGTTTTGCACCACAGAACAATTTGTGTCCTGAAGAAATGCTGTCAGCGTGTTCTTTCTACCTCCTCATGATTTGATTAGACCCTGGATTTTTACAAGGTGTAAGGAGCTTACTAAATATTTACTGGCAATCAGTTGCCAGTATATGCTGCTATTGAAGCATCCTGATGTTTAAATTCTTAATAGTTTAAATACAGCAGATTTATACATTTGCTTCCTCTGGTTTATATCTGAAGGTTAATACTCTTCTGTGAGACAATGTATAAATAAAAATGGAGACTTTACTGTGGCTATATGTGATGAAAATATGTTCCATAAAGAGAATTCTTACTGTTACTTGATTTATTTATTTTATTTTAGCATCTTGCCATTCTTAAACTCTTTTGCATTTCTTTTGTCCTGTCTGTAAACAATACATGTTCTTACAAGTTTGGAAATTAGCACTTCTATGATAAAAGCATGTTTTACTGGAGGCATCCTTATAGCTGGTTACATTAGTGGTGCTGTAGAAATTTGTGATTTGTCTTAGAAATTTTGATTTTTTTTTTAGAATAATTCAGGATTACAGTCAGTAGATTGCTTTCTCATCTGGATAGCCTTGTACCTGTTCCCTGATCTGTGTAGTCTGGTGATATTTGGAGGTATAGAACCAAATATATTGAAAGTGTGTATCTAAAATAGGTCACAGTGTTGCTATTCTGAAGCTACCTTGAAGAATACAGGACTGTCACTTACTTTTCCATTAGCAAAGGTGACACTATGGTTAATAAAAAGAGTAATACAGTTCTCTGGAGGAATGTAAGAGAGATAAGGAAGGTTACTGTTCATAGAATTTACAGTAAAACTACCTTAGTTACATAATGCTTGCATTTTCATTTAGGAGGTCCCTGGTATGATGATGTTAATTTATTTGACCTAAGTAAGTCAAGCAGGATTGGCAGGAAGGGAGATACTTAAATCTGTTCCCTCAAAATTATTTTCAGATTAAAGATATATATATATATATATATACAGAAGATACAGCACTAATGTTCAGTAAGGAGCAATATAAGGGGTAAATAAAACTATTCAAGTGCCTTGGAAAAATTGTGCCCTTTCTTCTGCATCTGTTGAATGTTATCCAGTGGTAAATCCTGAAGAAATTTGTTGTGTGAAACGAAAAGAAAAAATTTGGTTGTTTTTTATTTTTTTTAGCTTCTTTCCATCTTCCCTTCCTTCCTCCCTCGTATTTATTTATAAAATATTTATATGCTTGCATCACTGACCACCTGCAGCATGAGCTGCAGTTCCACATTACCACTTAGAGGGAGAAAACATTTCAGTGAGATGATTGCCTAATTGGCAGTATCCAGCTGAGATGGAGTAGGGACAGAACATAATGTACAGATGAATGCTTAACAACAATTAGTCCCACGAGTGGGACTAATGCAAATGCTAGCTTTAAGTAGCAAATGCTAGCTTTAAGTGGAATTTGTAGTTCATTTTGAAATAATGGATAGATGGATATAGAAGTTGTTTTAAATTAAGGCAGCAGAACTTTGAATCACTGTGCAGATTTCAGGGTAATACATTTTTGATAATGTAATATCAACTCCTCTTTGTAGTTTTAATTTCAGTGTGTTATTTAACAACTACTAGTCTCAAGGCTTAAAAATGGGAATGCTACTAATGTAATTTTACTACTGTATTATATGGTATATTTTAATTTTTTTTTGCAAATTATTTTTAACACTTTGCACATATGTGCCCAGTAGCAATTATTTTTAGTTAAAGTACTTTTAGTGTAGAGTTGATAGACCTTCTTTACACTCCAGATCAAAATTCTTTTTAGTGTTCAAGAAAAACTTAACTATAGATGTCCTTTTCTAAAAGGAAAAGGTCCTTATTAGTTTCTGCTGGTTATAGACTAGTTGTAAAAATATTGTATGGATGTTAATTGTGCTTTACTCATTATAAATTGAAGTGTGGTGTGGGATGCAGTTGGTTCTTCTTGGCTAGAAAATGTTTACTGATTGTCAAAGAACACGGAATGACACCTTGTACATGGAAGGAAATGTGTGGTAGTGTGGAGTTTTTCACCTGATTATTCAGCATTATTGAAACCAAAATGAAACGAGCCGAGTACAGTTACATTTTTCAAAACAGCTGTTTGATCCACAGGGAGTGTGTTTTGACCAAACCTGAATTGTGCTTCTCTTGGAGTAATTTCTTCCTCTCGGTTGATGTTTGCAACTCTGTGACAAGGTAGTGCCGCTGCCAGAATGATAAATTATTTGCTAATGACACTTCAGGCTTGTTTACATGCTTGATTCTGGTTTGTGTGCTTTGAATGTGTTGAACACTGAGGATCTCTTTTCCTTTTTTTCCAGCAAGACCTCATGACTTCTTCGATGCACAAACACTGGATGCTATAAGACATCGAGCCATCTGCTTTAATCTCTCAGCACATATAGAAAGTTTAGGAAAAGGCCACAGTGTTGTATTTCATAGTACTGTAAGTGTACATATTATGCATTCTATTTGTTTACCTATGTGTCTGAAAAATCTAACCCTTCAGAAAGATTTCTGGTTTCCTCTTACTGCTGTAGGCATTTAATCAGAAACGAGTAATAGTGGGTATTTTATATTGTTAATTTGTCCATTGCTGTTAGTAAATGAACTTTTAAAAAGCAGTGTTGGTAGTTGTTGTAGCTCACAAACTGAAAGGCTTGCTGTCTGATACTCTTGGGGAAATATCTAACAGCAAGTATGTGTTGCAGGAAAATGTGGTTCTGCCTTCTAAATAAGAAAGCAGTTCAGATGGCATTTCCTTAGTTGTGAGTGCTAATTTATCACAAGGAATATTTTGACTGTAATTGAATATATAAAGATGCTGATCTGAAATTTGTGTTTATTTCCTTGTTTTTCCCCAGTTTAAAGGATACAATCCCGAATAAATGTCTTCTTGTACCCATTTTTTTTTTTTTAATGAACTTATACCAGAATGTCAGTGAATTGCTTGAAGGAGGCAAGTACCAGGTGGGGAACTGGCCTTTAGTCCTGTTTCCATATCCTATTTTGTGAATTTCCATTGTATTTGGACAGGAAAGACATCCTTTTTCCAGAGAAAAAGTAGGGAATTGGAGTATAGGGGTCAGAATTTCAAAAAGCTGTATAACCTCAGGTTTTGTTAACCAAACTGAGAGATGTGGGCACGTAAAAGGTAGAGACTCAGCTGAAGAAAAGAAGAGATGGGACGAAATGAGAAGGGATAGTTTTTGAATTGGCAGACTAATGCAAGATGAACTGCAGTCCAAGGAAGGAATGCTGACTGACATGTCCTCAGCTCCAGTTTAATCTTAACGTGATTCAAAGTCTGGAACTCTGTTTCTTTCCATAAATAAAAGATGATTTTGTATGCACCAAACTTATTTCATGCTGTTCTACGGGACCGATGATTGTTATAAATATCTGTGGCCTGTATTAGAAATTTTTTCCAAATGATTACTCCTGAACTTTATGTGCAACTGAGCAGCAGCTGCAAGTGGAGATTTGCAGGTGGTTTAGCTGTTACTGTATTTAAATCTCATTCTAGTGTTCTGGGCAAACGTGCATCTTAAAATGCTGTGAGAAAGGCAGATTCTCTTCCAATTCACAGCAGGCTTTAATCTGAAAGGTTATCCAGACAGACTACTCAGTTGTGCTCAGCTCAGCTCTGTCTTTTGGAATAATTCATAAGGAGGTGGAATTAGAGGGAGGAACGTGCTCTAAAATTGCCTCAGATGAACTTGAAGGAAGTGCTGAAAATCCTTTTAGCTCATCCGTGCGTGCGTCACTCGAGATGGTGGGAGGTTGATTAGATCTGAAATCGCTCAGACCTCAGCTGGGGAGAGGTTCTACCAGTGGGGGAACTGCTCCAAGCTCCCAGCCCTCTTTTGCTGCTGCAGTCATGTGGGCTTGTGCTGGCCATCAGCTTTGTTGATGAGACACAGCCTAAAAGTGGCTTTAAAAAGAAAAGGCAGGCTAGAAGCAGTCCTGGGGATGTGCACTGTTACACTGAGCTGATGATAGCTCGGATGCAAACACATTTTGCATCACTTACAGGCATTAGGGCGTTAAATTTGAGTGGTGCCTGGCTAAATAGCATAACAAGTTTGTGTGGCCCACCTTAAGATGAAGAAGAAATGTGGAACTATCATGGGCATTAATTTGAAAGGTGAAAAATATGAAGATAAAATTGCCTTGTTGTCTGAAAAGGGACGTGAATTATGTTTTTTTTTTTATGTATCGTAAAAATAATGCCAACACAATGCAGTATTTACAGGACAGATATAATATAAAGAATTTCTAAGCAGCTGCCATAGATACCCTTCATGTCCTGTGAAAAGGCACATCCTTTTATTGATACATACTTATTTGAACCCATCCTTTTCTTTGTAGATATAGAAAGCTTTAGAATGCGGTCATTAATAAAACCTTTTTCAAGAAATGTGTTTGCCATCCAGAGTTCCCCTTTGACTTGATTATGATTTTTTTTTTCTGCTTGTTTTTTTTTTTAATTGGAGTCAAATTTTTGTGCTTTAATTCTTTGAATTTTTAGATAGAAAAAGTCAAGCATTTCTATTTAACCTAAAGACCAGATATTACACTGATTAAAAAATGCAGCTTATATGTTATGGGTGCCTCCCCCACCTTTGACATGGCTTGAATTAATTCTGTAAAATATTCGAATACTAAAGTGTTCTCTGGTTTTAGCTTTTTTACCTATTTCAGTCCAGTGAACTGATGTATTGAAACGTGTTTTGAAATCTTAAAACTTTGTAACACAGTAAATGAATAGAGTGAGACACACAGCAATTTATAGGGTGAAATTGTTTTCTTTTTCCAGAAGAGGTCAGCAGAACTCCATTTCTAATTTGAGAAACTCTGATGCACATTTCTTTTAAATTTCCATTTTGTTTCTGGGACAGTGCATGCCATGTAGAGAATGTAGGGAGAACGTTTTTGAATAAAGCTGCAGTGAGCATACACTGCCTGGCTGAATTGTGGGTTTAAGTGAAAAATTTAAATGGACTTAAGTTCTCTGCAGAACAATTTCAAGTCTTCAGAACATATTTATTACAGGCATAGGATTTTACTCCCATTTCTGCTGTAACTTTTGCAGACTTGACCATAAATCTCCGATTACGAGCGTCAAAATAGCAAATATTTTTTTTAATTTCTTTCTTGCAAACATTTTTCCAATTTTGCATTTGTTTGCACCATAACTGTGTTTCTGTTTTATGCTGGCTAAAGGTGGGAGTTTAACCTCAGGCTCCTACAACTTAAAATCTTCCTCAGGCTCCTACACTTAAAAACTTAATTCCCTGGAGAGTACCTTATGTACTGGGCTACTGTGAACTGGTATGAGAAATCCTGAGAAAGGAGTTCTTACTTCTTGTCTGTGACCTAGTGATACGTACACTTTATATAGAATTAATACAACTTGGAGCAAGTAAAACAGTCTCCCTTTTATGAATGTGCAGTTGAACGTGAAGAACAACAGTTTTTGAGCAAAAAAATAGGGAATTTGGTTTTAATTATGATTTTTGTAATTATTATAGGTAATAGCTAAAAGAAAAGAAGACTCTGGAAAAATAAAACTCTTGCTTCATTGGACACCTGAGGACATGTGAGTATATTGCTAGTGATATGCTGCAGGATTTAAATGGGGAAGGATTTACAGCAGGATAAATGAACTGCCTGTCACTATATTATTTTGTGCTGTTGAGTATTTAAATTCAAGTTAATATTTTTAAAATGCTTTTCAGAAAGTAATTTAGAAAATTTAAAATTAATAAGCAATGTTTAATTGATTTTTTTTTAACTGATTAACTAAATTTTCAAGTCTTTGGGCTCTAATATGATTTCAGGTAAATTTGAGTCTATATCTTTAATGCATTTTGTCACTATGCACTATGCAGCCATATACATAAGAAAACTTAGCACTGAGGCAACTTTGGTTTACCCACTGATTTGTCATGATCCTAAAAATACTTTCAGGTACTGAAAAATGTGCAATTATCATTGTCACAGTAGAACTCCATGACTCTTTACCTGGGTACCACAATTCAGCAGTATAATAACCACAGCTGGCCCCTTAAGGTGTCCATGTCATATTGCTGCTGCTTTGGATTCTCCCACTGAAGCTTGGAATGCTTTTCCAGCATGTTTTGACTGCTTTTTTTTCCTCTTTCTTTTCAAAGTTTTGCTTTGTTCCAAATGAGTAGCAGGACAAAGGGTAGTCTTGGGATGTATGAAGTAGTACATATCCTGTAGAAATAATTTATCTACCTCGAAATTGCTGAGTTCTCATCTGTCTTTTAACACTTACAGAACAAAGAGACCTTTTTGATTTGGTGATGCTTTCAGGTGATTGAGTGGGATGGTGATAAAGCTGTGGCATAACAGAAATTTACCTTTGCTTTGGTGGTTTAAATCACTCACTTTTGTAGTGTCCCAAATCAGTCACGTGCAGTGGTGTGAATTTGGCAGCTTGAGTCTGTTATAACTTGCATTTGTAGAGGACTGGAGTGGCTGATAAATTATCTGCAGCAATGGTGGACATCTTGGTGGAATTTTGAAGTGTCTGCATCTTTGCTGCTCCCTGCAGCACTTCTAGACTGCAAGTTTCAGTTCAGCTTGGGAGACAATAACTAAAATATTCTAGTAAAAAACCAGATTTTTGATTACCTTTAGGGCAGCTGGCAGTACTATGTGTAACAGCATTCTGAAGTTATTATTTTTAAAATGTTACAGATAAGGACAGTTAATTGCATTTTAAGATAAAAACCATTAAAAAGTGTAGTAACAGTGGGAACGTGAAAAATAAATAAAAATAGCAGGTTTTACATTTTTATACAGTCAAATGAGTTTTTTGCTCACGCAGATGAATTCAGTATTAAGAATCTCTGCATTGGAGAAGACAAGTTGTTCAGAAATGTAAAGCCATCCCTGATAGAATGGAGATTTGGTTGGTCAGGTCAAAGGAATAATGTTTCATATTGCTGTTTCTTGCATCTTGGTTGGGTTAGGGAGAGGGTATGTTCCATCACTAAATGATGTAGTGTTGGATTACTGAGTGTACAGCAGATTGAATTTCATCTTGATTATTACAGTTAAGAACAGCAAATGCCAAGGTGTCTGGGCACATGCCATCAGTCTGTTTTTATCCAATCCATGCACTCACACTGTAGAGGAGTGCAGTGCACTCGTGGGGATGACTTTCCATCAGCCTGAATTTCAGATGGATCTGGTAGTAATGATTTAACTTCTTCTGAGCAACTGTTAAAGTGCTTAAGGTTACGTGTACATTAAGGATTTTTTCAGGAAAAATAAAAGCTAGTCTTTAACCTGTTTCCTATGTAAGAGGGGAAAACTTTTAATTTCTTCTATTTTTTTTAGAGCAGGAATTTAGTCTTGGTGCCAGTACTTCTTAGCTTACTGAGTTGCTGTCTTTATGTAATTTCAAATAGTCTTTGCATGTGAGAAGTTTTTTTTATTTGCTGTTTGTGTCATTTTGCATCTTCAGCATCTAGTTTCTACTGAAAACGTCTCCCAAATGTTGTCTGTCCAAAAACTGATTTTGGCATTATTTGAAAAAGTCTTATGATGGTTTTCCACCTTTTATGATCCATAAGCCTTAGTGGATATATGGATTGCCTCCTGGGTTGTTCCTCCCCCCCCCTTTTTTTCTCTCTCTTTTTTTCTTCTGCCTTTATCTGAAAAGTTTTGTTGGAGAAACTCCATTTCCTGCTGGGATAGAAATTCTTGGTTTCGTTTCATGTTTTGAACAGCTTGACCAGAAAATTGAATTTGAGTTACAGCTCACTTTCATGGCTGCAAAATGAAGATTCAGGAAAATAAATTGCAAAAGTCTGTAGAACTGCATTTATCTTTGGTCAGAGAAAGGGCTGTTACATTTAGCTGGTTTCAAGTGTTGGATTTCTCAATTTGAAATTTATTCCAAAGAGTTAGATCTTAATTACAAATGTAAACTTTTCCCCCAACCTAAAATTAATCTTTGGCTTCTAGGACACGTAAAAAATAATAAACCCAAACAAACAAACACGAAAAACCAAAACACCAAAGAAAACAAAACCCCGGAAACCCCAAATGACTTTGTGGGCTAAAAAGAATCACAGGGGGTTGTTGGGGTTTGGGTGGGGATTTTTTTGTTTGTGGGTTTTTTGTGCTTTTTTGGGAGTTGCCTTTTTTTCTTTTCTTTTCTTTTTGTCTGGTTTCTCCCCCCCCTCCCCCAGTAGTGGAAACAAAAGGGATGCCTTGTTTGTTCTGCACAGCCCTGACAAGAAAGCAGGTTTTCAGTAAGCCAGTGATGAGCTCTGCAAGCCCAGTGCTTCTCTTAATAACATGCACCTGAAAACCTCAGCAGGGCCTTAATGTACTTCTAATAAAAGAAGCAGCAATGCAATAAACCACTCTGAGTTAGGCATGTTTGGTCTCAAGCAATTAAAGTGCAAACCGGAGATAATTGTGTGTGTTATCTCCAGACCTCTTCACAAGTTTCACTGCAAGTGGCACTGAAGCAACAGTTCATTTTAACGTGTAAAGACCGAGTTTTATTTCATCTCACAATGAGAACTGTTACACAGCCACAATATTTTGTGGTGATTGCCTGGATTTCCTCAGAAGATAGTAAAATGATTAACTTCAACAAAGTTGGAGGATTTTGAGGTTGAAACCTTTGAACTTGGAGCATGTAAATTAGTGTAACACAAAGCTTAGTGGCTGCTTTATACTCTGTCCTTTACTTACTTTTTTAACAGTATCAAAGAATTTTATGCCCAGTAAAATAAAGTATTTTCAAAGATGCAGTTGTTTTTCCTGCTACCCATTTTCACATTAAGTTGTTAAAACGGAATAGGTAGTGGAATTATCATTGTGTGTATGTTTAGCATTCTTCTGGAATAATCTAAATTCTGTTTCACACTGAGAACTTAAAAAACTTTGAAGTGTAACGTGTAAAGATTGACTGTGTTTCCTCATTCCAGTGAAGATGGTTTTTAAGCAGGGAAATGTGGAGATTACTTAAAAAAAAACTTCATATGTACTAGTTTACCACATAATTTTATGGTAAGAAAAACAGTTGATCTTTTTTGAATATTTTTATTTTATTTATTTATTCATAGTCTGCCTGATGTGTGGGTAAATGAAAGTGAACGACATCAGTTAAAAACTAAAGTAGTTCATTTATCAAAACTACCAAAAGATACTGCCTTGCTTCTGGACCCAAACATATACAGGTAACATCTTAATTTTGAAACTTTCTTTACTTGAATGTGATCTTAAGCCTCACTTAACTTTTTGACGTTGGAAAATCAGGATTCCTAATGTACTATGCACCAGACCAGGGAGCCTTGATACTGTAAACGTCCAGGAGTTAAGTTCTGAGGTCTTAAGTTATTTCAGAATTACTTCTTGAACTGAACTCTAGTTACTGAGAAACGGGGAATGTGTGTATTTACCAAGTGTATTTTACTTTTTTGTGCTTGGTGTACAGAAATTCTAGTAAAGGAGGTACATACAGTGGAATCCTGAAAGATCCCTTCTGTTAAGATCACATACTGGTTTGTATACCAATTTTTTTAAAGTCCAAATTTATCTTTCCATATTTTATATTCAACTGTAATACATGCAGTATTACCTTGAAATCCGTACTTGTATTCAAGTACTGTTATTTTTTAATACAAGATTCTTTATATGGGGACAGAAGGGGACAGTACGTGTTACTTGCCTTTAAGCTACTTTCACATTTGTGGTTTTGGGCCTTCAGATTGGCTTCTAATCCATCTGGTTTCTAATAATTTCCTGATTTTTCCCTCCCCCTCTTTATTAGTGCACTCACATAATTGTCAGTACCCACAGTTCTGTGTGTGTGTACAGTTTTTAAAGGTAATCTGAAATGCTTAATTCATTCTTAAATTTTGAATGTCCAAAGATACATATTTAAGGGCTTATGTTAAAAGTTCATGAAAATGGGTCATGAAAAATAAAAAGCTTTTTCTGCCATAACAGAAGTTCAGTGTTCTGATGTTTCTTCCTTAACATCCAGTGACTGAGTGTCTAAAGCAGTAAATAGAACACTAATCTGAGGTCTTGTAATGCAATAAGCCTTTCAGTTCACCTTTAATATTCAGTGTATTTCACTAATCAAATTAATGAAATCTTGGTTTACAATATGAAAATAAATCATACTTTATCTGCTACTTTTGTAAATGTAAGTATTTAAAATACTTACCTTAGTACATGAATTACTGATGTAGATCATAAAAATGTTATGAGGAAATTGGATTGTCTGTTTTAAAACTGCTTAACACAGTGACTGTCTTATAATCTAATTGAGATGTTAATTTTACATTGTTTACCTTTGCAGAATTTAATAGATTAGTTTGCCTTGAAAAGAAAAAAAAATAATCTTTTAAACTGAAAGTGTAATCTCTGGGATTAAGTCCTTGAAGAAAAATGATTAAACCTTTCTACCTCTCCCACATAAAATTAAGATCCCCACACAAAGTGTTGTACTCGATTTTTAACAGTATGGATCAATGTGTTAGTGAAATGAGATTTTGGGACCAACTGAGGGAGATGAAAGACATAAAATTGGAAGACCAAAATTTTGCAAGGGAAAAAGGTAGTTAAAGGAATTCAATGACAGAGTCTCATATCATGCTAAAATGATGACTTTAATAGAAAGTTTGAAATAAATACCTGAAATTGTACGCTGATATGGGATCATCAGAAATGGCTTTCAGTATTAATCAAATTAAATGAAAGTAGATTTTATATAGTCATGATTTCATAGTATATTCTGGCTGGCTGAAATTCACATCTCAGGGTTTTAATGTAAATCTATACCATCTTCTTTTACAGAACAATGCCCCAGAAGAGATTGAAGAGGTAAAAACCAAGCAAGTGGGGACACCTGCAGTCTTAGTCACTGACAATGGATTTAGAGATAAAGTTGCACATTAGTCAAATCCCATCCTTTTTTTTTTTTTTTAGATAAATATTTATGCTTAGTGTAAACATTCTGTGAATGAAGTTGATGCTTCTGTGGAATATATATTAATATATTACTGTATATCCACATTTTCATGGAATGGTACAGTGGGAGACTGAGCAAACACTCTTCTGGCAACTTAGTGGAACAACTAAAAGGCTTTGCATGCTTGCTTCTTTAAGCTGCTTTTTTCTTTAGTGGATACAGTAGTCTATATTGATGAAAAGAAAAAGTAACCATCACCATTTACTCACAATTCCCAGGAGAACTGTTAACAAGCTACTGGGCTTCTTGTCCATGTTAACTGAATATAACACGTGCCAGACAATAGAGCAGCTACCAAGGGATTATCCTCTTGCCCTCTGAGTATGGTGGATAGTAATCATTTGTCATTTGTAACCTTGTGTCCTTTTGCAGATCCCTAAAATATGTTGGATTATGATGTTGAAACAAATGTTGATGGAATGCTTGTCTTTTCCAGTCAACTCTGAATACATATAGTACGGTTTAAAGATGTTAAGAGTGTTGCAGTATGTCTGACCCCCTTTTCAGGAGTAGTGTAGTATGTTAATAAGATCTGCTTTTATGTGATCCGTATCAATGGACGGGTTTTGAGAAACCTCTACGTAAGCAAATAGTGTTACTGGTGATTTATTTTGCTTTTTTGACCCTTTAGGATCCCCATTCACTTGTAAAGTATACTTTATTTGGCCTAATGTTTTCTAGATGTAAAGAAAATGGTATTTTTTAAAAAAAAAAATAATCTAGAAATTCAATCCTTTATGCACCAAAGTTGGCTTTGAAAAGGAAAGTAAAATCATTTTCTTGCTTAATAAGCAAGGAGCCGTGGATTTTTTTTAACTGACAAATAGAGATGTGTCTAACCTGTTAGTCTTTGTATGGAGACAAAAATGTTGCATATAGATAATAGGACATTGCTTGTAAATATTTCAGCAGATTTGTAATATATTTTTATATTATGAAATGTACTGTAGATGTTTTTCTAGAGGCATGAAAGTTAAAATGTATATATTACGGTAGAAATAATATTGAAGGATATTGTAATTCACTAGTGCTGCCAGAAGAATTGTTTAAAAAAAGCACCTTCCTTAACAGTGAAATAAACCTTCTTTTACATACCTAAGGGACTATATACTACTGTTAATATCTGTTGTAAGAACAAAAAGACATTGAACATCCTTCCCAGAAATCTTAGAGGGATGAATAGTACCCATAATTAATTCATGGCGCTCCTTTCTAATAGTGAACACAAAATTAGTTTTTTCCTTGCTGTTGGAAGGAACTAATATGTAAAATTTGTATGGATATATGCAGTCAAACTGCAGAGTTAGTCCTCCTTGTTGGGGAGGAATTTACTACAGTGAAACTATTAACCAGCAGTTTTTACACTAAATTTTTATTAAATAGATTAAAACTTAAAGTAACCCTTTGGTTGCAGAAGTGAGCATATCCTAATGTAATACAAATGCATTCTGCATTGGTACTGACACGAGTCTTGCTTAGCTCCAGTGGGTTAAAAATGTTACTTATATACACAAAAAAATAATCTTATCAAACGATATGAAGTGCAGATTAAAAGCACCACTAATATAAGATGTTCTGGAATGGTTGTTTAACAAGGGTATTATTCATAAAATCTGTAGTGATGTGACTTTATTTTTGAAAAAAATGCAGTGTTTTGGTTTTTTATTTTTTTGCTTGAGCACTTCACCTACTGCTTTTTCTGTACCTATAAAGTAATCCGTAATCTTTGTTTCTTTTTTTTTGAATTTGTTATAAAATTGCCAAATAGAAGTGTTTNTCAGATATAGTTTGTATTTGTATTTTTTTAATTTTATTGCTTCATGAGTTTCTTGTAAGTCATTTATAATTGACAGATGATTGTAGACCTTGCCTGAGTATTTTTTCTAATAAAACAAAACAAACAAACCTCATTAGCTTCAAAATTGTAAGATTTCAATGAAGTTTAAATATAAAAACAACACTCTTTCCTCTGTAAGTTGTAACACATGTACCTTTACAAAATGGGGAATTCATGAATTCAAGTCATGTGTTGTTCATGTAAAATTTGGCTTTTCTTGGGTTTGAGAAAACTGTTATCTGGTGTTCTCATGGTACAGTTTCTGGTTTGGAAGGAAAAATCAATTTAAATTCAAAACATCTGTGAAGAAATGGATACACTGGAATTAAACTTTCCACAGCAGTGAAAAGGTGAGTGGACTTAAGACTGTTTTTCACCTTGACGTTACCAACGTGAGTTGCTAAAACTGTTTATGCCTGTCTGTTGTCTGTGTTCTACAAACTATGGAATTACTTGGTGGTGTTTTGTTTCAAATGACAGTCATGTCTCTGGAAAGCTCTGCTGCAGTTGTTGTGTGTGTCCCTGGAGGATTTCACTGTTGCTGGAATACCCAGTACATGGAACTAGCACAGAGTGCTGGGGGGCATTGATCACTTTGTTCTGAAAATAATCTTATCATTGTTACTCTTGGCAAGTGTTAATGATATAATTGGCCTCTCCCCTTTTAAGTAAGTCCATCTGCTTTGTTTTGGGATGTTTGGGATGTAACATACAGAGGTTTCTTCCTGTCTTTCTCAAGAACATATTTTTTTTTTTTTAGATAGATTTTCCAAATATCTGCAGATTGCATTCCCTCCCAGCTGGAGTATTTTTTTGCTTTGTAGAGAAATATCAGCTCTCTAAAAGTCTTACTTTTCAGGAGTTGCAGTGCACACAGATACAGGCTTCTAAAATCATCAGTCCTTTTGGAATGTGTTGGCTTGAACTTTACAGTTTTCTGAAGCTGAATATTAGGATTTTTGAGTGAGGAGTGCTGTTTTGGGATCAAAGACCATCTCTGCCTTTTGCTAAAGTGTTTGGAAATTCTTGTCTGGGAAAACTTCCTAACATTTGGGCACAGCACACAGCTGATTGTTTGATAGTTTGATCTTATTCTATTTACTAAAGCACTTTAATAGAGCAGAAACAGATCAGTTCTTTTCTAATACTTACATTGCATATAATTTTCTCAAGTTGCTGTGGATTTTTTTCAGAATTTGGACAAATGGTCACACTATATATTTTTCCTGACTTCTGTAGTCCATTAAGTAATTATATCAGTAGTTTCCAATTTAAATTACAGGTTAATTCTGGACTAGCTTCATTTGGGAACACACGTGTTAATTGTGTTCAAATCCGCTTTGTTTTTAATAATAGAAATTCAAGTGGTGGACTTCTGTTCCTCTCAGCTTTTCAGTGCACCATATGAATTGATATGACCAGAAAACTGGTCTTATGTAGCACTTCAGTCTGATATTGATGATTTATTCTCACTTAATGCTTTCCTGCCTTGACATTTTAAACTTGTGAATGAACCTATCATAAGTACTTCTGTTGTCACACTAATGTATGATGACTAAAACAGAAGAAGAAAATCATGTAACAGGAAAGTTTAAAGAAGCAACCAAATCTGTGGCTTCTTTCAGTCATTTTCTCTAAGTTGTTAGGTAGACACTGTGAATGGCTCCCATATGCACATGGCTATGAATGAAAAATGACAGTTTGATCCCTAAAACAAGATATTCTTAACAAAACATTTCAACAGCAGAGACGGTCTTAACATCACATGAATTTTGTCAGTCAGGTAAAGGTACCCTTAAGATCTGTTATCCTACTGTTTGCCTACTCCAAGCTGAGAATACTCTGGTAAATTCCCTTGCTTCAACTTTCAATAAAAATTTCTGCATTATGTGGTAGTGGGGGGGAACCCCACCAGCACTACTGTTTAGAACAACACACAAAAAAATACTGTAAAATGTCAACAATATCCATTTGTTCCTGCATTTTTAACAAGGATCTTTTTTTTTTTTAAAATTATGTGTTCTTGTAATTATATAATGTAAATTGAAACTAAATGAATTCTGATAATATTACAGCTGTAATCTCCTAGTGATTATAATCAGGTATAAATACTAGAGATTAATCTCTAAAAGTGTATTTATGAGAAGAATTATTACAGTGTTAAGGGGCTTCACTGTTGTAGTCTCTCTTGTAATTTCTTTTTTTTTCCTAAGTAAGGATGATCCTAAATCTGACCAAAAATAAAACCTCAGTCCTGGAAGATTTAAGATTCTTCAGCCATCTAGTCTGTCACATTTCCCTGAATATAGCTGACAAACTAGAAAACCCAAGCAGATTTATATCTTCTGCCAAATCTCAGGTTATCTCCCAGAGGGGAGAAAAACCGTGCTAATGTTTTGTGTTTAAAGCAGAACACTGGTTCTGGGAGACAGGAGCTGTGAATTTACTTTTTCCAGATAAGAAGCTGGTGATGAGCTTAGACCAGCGTTGCAAACTGTATTTTTGGCTTTTAACTGGCAGTGGCAATTCTGAGTATTTATTTTCCTACTGTGTTACAGCAGCTCTCTTTACAGTGAAAACTTCTCCCAGGCTGTGTCCACGTGTCTTAATTTTTATACTACAGGATGCAGCACTGTGTGCAGTAATGGAGTTTGTATTTTTTTTTTGTAGTTGCCTCTTAAGGGTTTGTAATCCTTCAATTTTAGCCAACTTGCCTGTGAACTGTCCAGTACTCTCTGTGCTAATCCATTTCCACTCTCTTGTACCACACAGTGATACAAGTGTCAGTGTGGACCAAAGTAAAGTTTCAGGTGTACCCGCGTTTCTTGCATGCCCTAATTCCTGAAAACTTGTATTGCAACCTCAAAGTAGTTCTATTTGTAATTTATTAAATTATTTAAGACTGTTTACCAGTTCTGGTATCTAGCAGCTTACTGTCCTTTTCAGGGATGAGAGTGTCTGTGCACTGCAATCTCTAATTCTTTCCTAGAGAAGAGTTAAAATTAAGATGTCTTTGATGTCACAATGCAACTTACAGTGAAGTAAGGAAATGTAGTTCTAAGTGTGAAGAGAATAAAATTATGTTGATTTTATACCAAAAGTGGGCTTTTAGTTGACAGCCAGCTATGGATATATTCAACTCTTCCAGTTGTTCTTGAAGATTAATATGCTGTGATTGATGCTACAGTGTTTGTTTTTACTAATTCTAAAAATGGCCCTTTGAACTCTTTAAAATCCTCCACGGTAGTTAAGTGACAAATACTCTTAAGTAATATGATAAATCTGTTTAATTCATCCCAAATGAGAGATAATTGCTGATAGCATCCCATGGGGTTGGCTTGCATACAGGAGATTTGAGTGCTGTCTACTGGATGCTGTTCAAAACTATTGTCTAATTTTAATATCTTTTTTTCTTGGTATTTTGCCTGTGTTTGCAGTCTCAGTGGAGGGAGGATGTGATATCCCCTCCTGTATTTACTGTGAAGAACTGCTTCTGATTTGAGACAGTAGTAGCCTTCTGACCAGCCAAGGGAAGACTTTGAGAAAAAGGCAGGTAAATAGGACAGAGAAGGGAGGGGAAATTGTAACAAAGGTAAAAGAATATAAAAAATAAGAATGAAGCTGATCACCACTGACCGATGCCCAGCCCGCCCCTGAGCAGGAGGGCTGCCACCCCCTGCCCAGGTTCCCCCAGTTTTGGTGGTCAGCATGACTTTCTGTGATGTGGGACATCCTTTTGGTCACTTGGGGTCAGCTGTCCTGTCTGTGTCCCCTCCCAACATCTCGTGCACCCCCAGCCCACTCACTGGCCTGGCAGCATGAGGAGCTAAGTCCTTGACTTAGTGTAAGCACTGCTCAGCTACAACTAAAACATCAGTGTGTTATCAGCATGATTGTCATCCTAAATCCAAACCAGCTCTGGACCAGCTACTAGGAAGAAAACTAACTCTATTCCAGACAAAACCAGGACGTATTAGAAGTTTGATGTCCCTGTGCAGACTCAGAGATCTCCTTTTTCTCAGTGTCATGGCTCAGTCATGTTTTTTGGCTGGTTTCTCATGTCATGTCTAAGGTCACATCTCTCAATAGGATTTGTACAGGCATATGGAGTCTGACTTCAGGAGGACTCCATTATGGATCTTTGACTTGTCTACCTCTCTTCAAATCTGTTGTCTGAAACCCAGATTGTGAAATCAGGGGGAACCAAACATGATATTGTTAATTATTCATTTAAGCCAAAATGCTCAACATGAGCCACTTAAACTTGTTTAGGCACTGAAATATATGTTTGGATTTACATAATTCCAAGGCCAAAAAATCAGTAAATATGTTGTTTTGGGAGCAAAGCCTTGGAATGTGAGATTAAAACTACCCTTAAGTTCTAAAAGGCATTTTAAACACTTCTAAATGCTTTGCAGCTTTTACTTTATGGTGAATATGAGGCAGGGGCTTGGACCCTGCTTACTTTTTCTTTCTTCATGTCATAAATATTCTCTCCTAGAGCATGGAAAATAAGTCAATTACACTTAAAACTGTTTATGGCAGAGCAGATGTGTGCATACAGCAACTGTAGCTGAAAGCCCAAGTATTTAATTAGCAGTTGCCTGCAGCTGGATTCTTTCCTTTTAAATAAGTGGGGAGGTGGGGAAACATAAAAGGATGTCAGGAGACATTCTGCTGACAGAGAGTAAGTTCATGTGTAATTACTTATTAAAAATCTTGCTCTACCTCCCTACTTGGAGCCATCACATGGTGGTGCTGCCATTTCATCGTGCTGTGCAGTCATCCCTGAATTTTGTGTCCTCACTGACCTGATACCTGTGCTGCCTCGTTCCAGTAACATCTGAGGATTCCTCGCAGGGAAAAGGTGCCAGCACAGAAAGCCCTGGCTGCCCACGGAGTGCCCAGGCTGCGCCACACACTGCACCTGAAAGCCAAACCTCACAAGCTTTCTGTCCCGGGAAACAGGGCTGATGTTCCCTTTGGTCACCCCAGGCCAGGCATTACTGGCTTGCCCCCCCCAAACCCGATACAAATGAGGATTCCTCGCAGGGAAAAGGTGCCAGCACAGAA